AAAAGTTATAATTTTATCTCTGATATTAAACAAAATGTTATAAGTACTTACTTAAGAGATAAATGTTATGCATATACAATACTTATCTATTATAAACTTAAGTTTATAAAATAATTATCCTATTCTATAGCCTAAAATAGGAGTCTTAAATCATTTCCCCATTTATAAGCAACTAATGAGGTAATCAGAGCACTTCACAGTGAACCATAGTCACGTTCAATTTAAGGTTGCAATGCATTTGAACTACTAAAATACTAATTCTGCATAATTTGAAGCCTTTCAACTCAAATCCAGAAAGTGGTAAGGAATTGAAATCATGCTTATATTAATTGAGAATTTTTTGAAAGCAAATGAATGATAGTAATGATTCCTGAAGCTAATATTACAGAACAAAATTCAAGAGTATTGAACCCTCCCATGAAAGGCAACAATAGCAGAGAAAAAGAAAGCAAAATATATGAAGAACAGCCGCTATAATATTTGCGGATGGGGAAGGTGAAGGATGAATCAGGGTTTACTATTCAAAGTCAAGGAATTCCATTCTTTTCCTCATAGTCCCTTTCAGATCTGAGGCCTCCCTTTCTGCTTTCTGTGCCTACAATGCACAATCAAAGTTCCATTAAAAAAAAAACAAAATTTCACGAGTCTGCATAATTGAATTATTGCTTAAATAAATGCAAATAATAGGACTACACCAGCAACTATTTTCAAATCATAACAGAAAACCAATGGACCCAAATATATAGTTTTAGGATTTTAATCCCATTTGGGTACCATGCCGGGTTTATAAATAGATCATCAAACTTTTAGAACATCTTTCTGCATAATTATAGTATTGAGATTACTTTTGTTCACAGAGAATTTACTCTGCCTATTAGCGTACTAAATATGATTTTATCAAAATCATACCCAGGATAAGGTTGATTGGGGCATAGAAGAGTATATAACAACATACAGAAAAAAAAAATGACAGTGTTGAGGAATTCGTTATTAACTCAATGGGATAGAATTAGGTAGGTAGGGTTCATAAGTATTTAATATAGGCCCATTCAAATGAGTACTTAGTATGTCCACTTCTTGCTCATCATCAAAATAGTTTGCCATTATTTCCTCAGCACACAGTTACTTATCAAATTATTAGATGTTAAATATAAAATATGTTCATTCCTACACACTTTAGTATAATCCTGATGCAATGAAGCTTTGTAAAGAAAAGTAGGAAAGCAATGAAACATTGACAGAGTCACAGCATACTGTATCTTTAGACAAGTGAGGGGAGATAAGGAGACAGAAAATCACACAAAGAATATAAAGTAAATAAAGAAAAAATTTAAGAATATTTACCCTCTTGATTTCTGCTGTAGAAACACGAGTCATGTGTTCGGGAAGTTCCTCCCTCTCCAAGTCCTAAATGTTGAAAGACATGTTAAATAAGATGGAAAATTAGAAAATACTTTTAGATGCAAAGGGAAGCAATCAGTAACCTTACCAGCTCACCGATTAGAACAACATTTTCTCCACGGATTACATAGAGACCCAAAGGGATGTCACAATACAGATCACCAACAATAACCCTCTCACAGGCACCCTCAAGAACTGCATTAGCTGCAATTTTTGATGTGAAAATTTACAAAGTCAAACTATTGCCTGTCAAAACTTTACGTAATTTAAGGTCAAGTTGGTACCAAATTGATCAAAAGAGCGAAGTATCCCCATGAGCTTTCTGCCATCTCTCAGTAATACAAGAAGTTTCTCTACAACAACAATTATTGTCAGACCATACAAATTAGTACATAATACAAAATCAGCCTCACCTACAAGAAAAACCAAGATTAATTTAACACATTCAATGGGTTACATTGCTTTTGAACAATATCTAGCCGAAATCCCTTTCAGAAAGCCTAACATACTAAATATGTCAAAAGCATTGTGACATCAAAACTATTCAATCACACAAGTTAAATTCAAAAGCAAAAGCAATGTGACGTCAAAACTATTCAATCACACAAATTACAATTCAAAAGCAATATTGTCCACACATCAATAGGTGATCATAAAATAGCATATTCTCATGCGCTCACTTTTACATGTGCGACTATGGCCAGAATTAGGAGATATAACAACTACAGAGGACAAACATAGAACTAATTTAATTTGCAGTACCTGAAATTCCTTCTTCCCTGATAACATTTTGGAAGAATGATTTTTTTTCTTGCTTTGGTATACATAGCTCGTAACAAACATGCACAATAGGAATCTATCAGTCAAAATCATGACCCTTCCCTTTCCCCTGCAGCCTCGTAATGTCTAAAACAATAGTCAAGCCCAACCTAAAAGTCTCAATGAAAATTGAACCCTCACTTTCCACAAAAATACAAGACAAAGTTGAACACTAAAAAAGAACTCCCCCTCCATAAACTACTCGTTTCGAACCAAGTCCACAACTTTTTACCATTAAAAAATTACCCTTTACACATTACACGATGAAAGCAAGAACCAAAAAGAAAGGCTGGGCATAACTATGTCAAGAGTGCAATCTTTCACTTAAATTATTAAATTTGAAGTGTGTATCAACATGAGAAAAGAAGAAGAAGAAGAGTGCTCACTGTCAAGATAGCTAGCAAGTGAAGTAGAAAGGTAAATATCCTCAGGGCCTGCCCAAGACATTTTGCGTTTTCGGTATCTCAAAAATCACCGAATAGCTCCTCACTAACCACAATAATGGCATTGCCAGCGCCAACGCAACTATCCTACTTCAACCCCACTAACTTCAATCTGAATTCCGAATTCCACAGCCTCAGGTTTAAGATCGAAATCGCTTAAAGAAAGAAACCCCAGAGATCCAATCGCCGACTAGGAGTGGAAAGGGAGCCTTTTTTGAGAGGGAAACGAGAGAAAGAAAAAGGGGAGCTTGATCTTCTAGGGTTTCGAGACTGTGATTTTGGGATAGATTCAGAAGATTTGTTCAATCAAAACAATACTGCGTTTCGCTAAAATTCATTATTATTGAAATTATGGGGAAGAAAAAAATTTCTAAAATGTAATCGAAAATGGGTTTAATACAGGGTTTTGTATGCATTTATTTGCAATAGATTACTTTTATTTGTAAAAGAGTTAAAGATTTATTTAGAATATATTTTTATTTGCCTTTATATTATAAAAGAAATCTACGCGGAAAATTCTTATAAAACTGAATATATTTTCTCTGGAACGACTTCTTTCAATTTACTGCCTACCTTGTAGATGTTAGAATTTATTTTTTTAATTTATGTTTAATAGGTTCGGAGGTCCTTATATTTGCGGGTTCGTTTCACTGGGTCCTCTAATTTTAGAAGTGATCAATTAGGTCCCTAGTTTAACAAAATGAAGTCAATAATACCCTTTCCGTTAAATGCAAGGGAATCTGAATACAAATTAAACAGGTGACATGCTGAGGCATCATTTTATTTGCAGGTGGCAGACTTTGAGCTTAATACGTGGCAATTTCTGCAATTTTTAATTTGCATTCAGATTCCCTTACATTTAACGGAAAGGGTATTATTGACTCAATTTGTTAAATTAGGGACAAATTGATCACATTTTTAAAGGGAGGACCAAGTGAAACGAAAACCCGCAAATATAGGGAGTTCCGAACCTATTAAACCGGTAAGGTAGTGCATAAGAATATAAAGAAGGGGGGGGGGGAGCAGGTTTATAGAAGGAAGGTAGTATGGACAAAGACCGTAGAGTAAGAGGGAAGAGAGGGGCGGGGGATAGTAATACGTTAGGTCAAAGGTATCCTTGAAAAGGGTTAAATCGTAAAGAAAAGAGGGGCGGAACGGTAAGAGGGTACTAGGGGTCTAAATATAAGATTTGGGGTGAAAAAGGTAAAACTATCGGGGTAAACTAAGATAAGTACTTATAAAAAAAATTCTAAAAACATGATGTAAAATAGTGAAATTATTTTAATTTACTTTTACAATTATAATAACAATAATTTATTTTTTATTATATAAAAACTAAACACACATGCTCGTGGTGGTACAGGTATTTTTGCAACAGTAACATTTCGTTTGATAATACAAAATTACTAAATAAAACATTAAAAATTTAATAATACACAACATATAGTTAAAAACATATAAATCATAATTTTGAGAAAGAGGAAAATTTCTATACAAAAAACATCTAAAGAAAAAATATACAGTTATGTCATCACTTATCAACTTCCCCCATATAAATCGTATATCAAACAATTCATCTACTCACATAAAAAAGGTAATCATGTAAAAAAAAAATAACAAAACATAAAATAAGAGAAAGCATGGTAAGTTAGTGTGCAAAAACAAAATATCGTAAGATAATTAAATTTGATCATATATAAGCTAAACATTGTTGAAATACAATAACATATAAACATGCATAAATATATGACACTAGACTTAATTACCGATATACATGTCATTGACAAAGAGCTTCATTCTAGGTGTGCATTTGCAGTAATATCTATACTCAGTGTCATAAACATTGAGTGATCACCTTACTATTTACAAGGGCACTCCCTCTAGGACCAAATAGTTCAGTGGCTAGGCCTCTTGTAATTCTCTTTCCTACCATTCCTATATGAATTTAATGGTTGGTAGAATATCAGGATATCTCCTTTCTAAACTCTCATTAGTCAAAACATACACTAAACATCACTACCACTTAGAATTTATCCTTGAAATTCTCTCAACAACATTTCTAAACATTTCAATAACAAAATCCTCATTTTCACACACACAGTCACAATTCTTACAAACATATTTAAAGTTTATTTAAATAATTATCAAACATCCAAGAAGAGAAAGACAAATCAAGCATCGCTTAGAGGTGCCACCCGAGTGTCAAACTTCTCGTAAAAGATGTGCTCAACACCATTCTTCTCTCAAAAAGTCGGTCTCAACGACACTCTTCTGTCACTCCAAGACCTAGAATTAAATTGCTTCATACCTACAGTACAAGATGGTGTTCAACAGTGATGCTCAATGGCAAAGCATTTGCAAAATTGGATGCTCAGTGGTTAAAAGGGACACTTAGTGATCTGAAGCCAAAATGTTCCCAAACTTGCACAATCAAACTTACACCTAGCGCCCAATCAGTGTCACTTAGCGTTATATCAGGTTTACAACAAACATTTCATCTTTAAGAGGCGGTGGAAGAGATGAATCCTTTTGTTTTTGAAAGGCGATAGAAGGGATTAGGATTTGAGTGTTGTCATTTCCTCTTTCAAGGAGGTAGAAAGGAATGGATGTCTCACCCGTAAAGTTCTGGCTAAGGTTGAGCATAATACTGATGAGAGCAACATCCGAATTTTGCTTGTAAGCCTTGTGAAGCAAGAGAGATAGATCCAAAGCTGCGGTAGAAGACAACTTGAATCGGTTTGTTTTGGTAAATAGGAGTGGTGTGGTGAAATAAGGAAGATGACATAGGTTTATAAAGATAATGAGTATCGGCATGAATTGCCTTTATCTGAGAAACTTATGTAGAGTCATCGAGGATATGAAGTCGAAAGTGATATTGTCTTAATCTATTAATGAAAGAGTTATTGCTTTGTAATTTATAACATCATCCTATTTATCTATGTTATTGTTGTTAACTCACTTCTATTTCTTAAGTTTGGTGTAATGTTCATATGTAATGTTTGTGTTATAGAGGAACAATTGATGATACAAATGTTATGTAGAAGCAACGAGAAAATAGAAAAGATTAAAAAGAAAAATCTTGATTAAATTTGTTATTAATAAGATTTTTTTTTAAATAATGTAATATTAATTATGAAATTTAATTCATACAATATCCTGAATTATTTATAATATGTATTACAATAATACAATATGTATTACAATAATTAAGTCGACATATTAACGGTTTTTGAAAAAAAATTTGAATTACTAGATACCTGAAATTTGAGATGTCACACTCAACACCCAAAATTTAAGATGCTACACTCAGCACCCAATCGCTCAGTACTATACCAGTTTACATCAAACTCATATTTGTGATTTAAATAAACTTGAATATGATCTATTGTTCAAAACGGTATTTATTTTTTAAAGAATTGATTCAACACAATTTTTACACATTAAAACTTATACCAATTTATTCAATTGTTAACCTAAAATTTGTTGTTTATTTGGAAGGAAACCACGTAAGAAAGGGAACCGAGTATATTTTT